AAAATCTAAATTATGACAAGTAGTGCTTCTTGTTGCCCGACAGGACAACCAGATCTGAAAATAAGCGTCAAGGCCTGGGTTAGCTATTCAGTTGGCACATGGCAGATAGATTAACTTATTAACCACATTACGTTGTCTTAGCATTGTGCTTACACTAATAAAGTGACAGAGACTGAGCAGTTCAACCCTCAGCAATTTGAAGTTTATGTTTCTCTTTTTTTAAGTATTTTAGTCTTTGGTGTTCCATAATATAAAATTACTCAACTAAAAAGTGATATTTTTGTGATGAAGACTGTTTAATAATGCTGATGCAGATTGCAGGAAATTGCATCTAAGAGGTGTAATTTTAAGAAAAATTTCCCCGGATCCCCCTAATCTAGACGGGGGAGGGGGCCTCCCAAACCAACACCTCTAGCAGCTGCACTGCTTGCGGCAGCAGACAGCCGCCTACTTTGGTAGTTTAGCCTGCTACTTTAAAAAGCTGTGACAAGCCTGCTAGCATATCTCTACCTGTATTGTGGCCCCTCGCTCTGATACGGCTATGATGACCCACATTGACAGTTTATTTGCCAAACAAAGTAACGGTACCGTATGAATATGCATAATACTGACAGTATACAGTAAGTAACCGTAAACACCAACATTGTTTGCTGTCAACACTAACAGGGTGCATCAGTAAATGTAAAATCAGTAACTATTAGATGCAGAGAGCGAATTAAATTGTTGTTGTTGTTGTCATCGTTAACTGTACTGTAATAATACTGTCAGTATAACAGTAACTTGAGTAAGACTACAGTAAACATACCAACACTGCAGCGTATTGACCTGACACAGTCACAGTGTAGGACCACAGGCACTTGGAGCGTTTCAATAAAATATAATGCTAAATAAATACGAAATCTATTTACTACCAAAGTCTTAATGTTTCTCTACTTTCTTTTACCTATTATTGCCGATAATTTCCTGTAAATGCCGTCCAAATGCTCATCTGCAACAAACGCTGGCTGCCGCTGCACACTGACACATAAATATATAGTGTCTATTATACATAGTCTATACATGTATATACATCTATATATTTATGTTTCAGTGTGCAGCAGCCAGCGTGTGTTGCAGATGAGCATTTGGACGGCATTTGCAGGAAATTGTCGGCAATAATAGGTGAAAGAGAGTAAAGAAACATTAAGACTTTGGTAGTAAATAGATTTCGTATTTATTTAGCATTATATTTTATTGAAACGCTCCAAGTGCCTGTGATCAGCTGTGTCTGCGTGCGAACGAATTAATCATGTTTGCTGGACGACCGTAGAATCTGATATAGAACGAAGAAAGTCCTGAGCAAAACCGCATTACGAGCGGTATATACACGAGGTATATAGACAGCCGTTAGTCGGTTTATGTAACGGGGATTGCCATTTCCGCTGGGATTCGTATCCTGACAGTTCCGCTAGTGTGATTCATCCAGTCGCTCCTTGTTTCGCACGGAATCGTCTGCCGGACTTCA